GCGCGGCCTCCCGCAGGCGTCCCCCCTGCAGGTCGGCAGCGGCGAGTTCTGGCTGCTCCGAGCCTGGCCCTCGGACGCCGCGACTGCTCCCGGGGCTAAAGCAACCGAGCTCCTGCCTCGCCAGAATTTAGGTTTAAACTAGCAACATCACGGGGAAAGTCAGTGCTGTTGGCGTGCAAAGCCCGATTTTACTGGTGTAACTAACAGTAATTAGCATTTCTTAAGGAGGGGGGGTTACGAAACTAAAGTATAAAACCTGTACGATATCTAGCGTGCCTGTTTAAACTTTAAACTGCTTAGAAAGCATTTCCTGTTAGCTTAGCCAAGAGCACGACATGGAGCTGAACCCACCCACCTGCAGAACTGCTGGAGGCTCAGCAGTGGTGCTGCCAGACGATGTTGGGCTAGGCAGAGGTTCTGGCTGACCTAGGCTGACCTACTATTATAGCCTGTCTTTCAGAAAACTTTTTATTACACCAAAAACGTGACAGAATTAACAACGTATTGTCTGCCCAGTTTGACAGAATTAAGTACAAGACTCAGTTCCAAACTTCCCATTACTTGTATTGCCTCAACTGACCTAAAAAATTCTTAGTTCTGTAGACTGCTACCAGGAATGGCAGCAGAACTGTTACCTTTAACTGTAGGAATGCTTTCATATTGTACCTTATATATATTCAAAACCAAGGCTACTCTCATCTTTATATGTTTTATGAATCCAGAAGTTGGGCTGAAAGTAAATGCTGGAATTAGAATTGTGCCAGTTACACAAACCTAAAGAATACCACTCTGCGCATTTCATCTTTTTGTAACTGGTTTGCCCTGCTACTGGGAACAAAGGCCCAGCATCTCTTGAACAGTCAGGATAAGCTTACCAAAAAAAAAACCTGACTGTTTTACCATTCTACTGCCAGCTCACACAGAAAGTACAGGTATTCCTGTAGGGGAGGGATACTGAAGCAGTTCTCTTATTTTATCATTGTCTTTTGTTGTCCATTTGACAACAGCTTTGTATTTATGGTCAAATTATTTTATTTTTGTATAAGCAATCTTTTACTAAATGAAGCATGGAAGTTTGGCGTTGCCCTTCAGAGTCAAATCTCTGCAACTCCTACTTAGGCAGACCTGTTTTAATTTTACTTGCTTGGCAATTTATTTGAAAAGTGAAACAAAACAAATGCACTTAAGTAGACTCAGCCTTATAAAAAATCACTCAAGTTTCCAGCTAAGGTTAGAGAAGCTTTATACAGATGTAACGATCACCCCCACCATGCTATCTGGAAAAATCAGGATCTTGGCAAGAATAGCAAGAATATAATAAAAACGATCACAAGGTAAGCGAAAGGCACCAAATAGGTTTCAAGAACACGAAGGGCAGACAGCGTATACAGTAAGGAACTCGGATGAAACCACAGAGGTAAGTGCTATCTGTGGGCTGTGGTTAGATTCCTAGTGAAGGATTTTGAGTTCTGGAGTGTGTTTTTTCCCTGCAAGTCTAACAAAATTTGACTTGATCAGAGCACAAGGCCCGTTCCCTTCCCCATCCCAGGCTTTGTTTTAGGGGCCAGAAGCAGGATGACAGCGTATGCTGGCAAACTGGGGAAATGTCTTTCTCCTGATTAACTGACTGAACTGAAAATATTACCAGCGGAATAAACTATGCGACCTTCAGAATTCACTAAGATTTTTTTGCTTTCTGATGCTTGCCATAGCTCTTCTTGCAAGCTGTTTTTTTCTAATGATCCAGTGAAGATCGTAAAGGCAAAAGGCCAGTATATGTATGATGAGAATGGAAGACGGTACCTTGACTGCATAAACAATGTTGCTCATGGTAAGTAAGTTAAAAGTCACGTTATTTGATACCATGTTTTTCTAAGCAGAAAAGTTAAAAGTCACATTATTTGATACCATGTTTTTCTAAGCAGAACAAGGAACAATCAGTATTTTTTACCACTGTTGCATTGTGTTGGGGGAGGGGTTGTTTAATTGGAAAGGTGGGAAAAAACCTCTCTTGAGCCTATAGTTTGGGAAATTACGGTTCATATTTGAATTTCTGCGTGCGTGAATATGCTTTCCAGACTTGCTTCCTGGTCTGTCTTCCTAGAAACATACTTATCTAAAATTTACAGATTTTTTTTTCCCATGAAAGCTCAAGTAAAGCACCTAACTGTAAGACTAACAAATGGCTTGACAGTTTGTTGTATTTGTACAAGTTACTGATAAGGGTTCTGTCACAGGACCACTGCTCAGCGTAGTGCCTTATTTGTATATTATGAAGTAGCTGTTTCTTTCTTACAGTGTTTGAAATCTCTCTGAACGGTCAGTGCTGTCACTAGCACGTAGCAGGGCTAATAATTCTTTGATGGTAAAGCTTAACCTGCACATACCCAAACCCCTACCTAAATTATTCAAATGTCTAAATCCAAATACTAAATTAGACACTATTTGTTTTAGCATATCAATTTCCAGTATTCAGCTACAAACTATAAAATACAGTACCAGGCAATTTCAAACTTTCTGAGCAAAAAAAGAAAGTTTTAAGTGAAAGCTTTCAAGGTGTACCGACATTGTCTTCTGCTGACAATATCATTAATGCCCCACTGACGAAATACGATCATCAGTGAAGACAGCTCTGTACTAATAGAGAAATTTAAGTGTTAAGTCAGGATGTGTTTGTTGATGAACACCACGTGTAATATGGAAGAACTCTCAAACTACTGTCCACGCTCTCTTGCAGTTGGACATTGTCACCCTGATATAGTAAAAGCAGCCCATGAACAAAATCAATTGTTAAATACAAATTCTCGTTATCTTCATGACAACTTGGTCAATTATGCAGAGAGACTTTCAAAAACGCTGCCCGAGAAGTTATGCATCTTTTATTTTTTGAATTCAGGGTAAGTAAGTGAGGTATATTAGAATGGATACTCTGTTTTCACTCATTAAATACAGACAAGTAAAATACTTATTATCAACAGCTAACTGCATGGTCTGGTGTGGATGATTAGATACTGACAAACCACATGGTTTGGGATTTTTGTTTTTGAAGAAACTGTGGTCCTTTTTAGAACTTCAGTGACTCTGAAGTTCATGTTTAGAAAGCTCTCTATCGGGAAAATAAACTAGCACTTTATTTAAGGAGGGTTTTATTCTGTTTATAAGGCCTTGGACTACAAAACATTAATGTAAATATTTACTGTATTAGTTTCTGGTCTGACTTGTCTTCTGAACTGGGAATTACTTCTATTATCAAAATTAAATGTAACAATACATATTTTCTGCTTGGGGCAGGGGTTGTGTTCCCAAGCAAACTACAGCTTTAAAAAAAAAACCCAAAAAAAACCCCTGCTTCCAAAGTAGTTTCTGTACTCCAGTTTTTTAGATGGATCCTGTTCTGGTGAACAGTCCTACCTAATGAGTGCTGATTATTAAGGGATCTGTATGTAACATGCATTGAGTTCTGTCTGTTCTCTGCAGATGCAAACAGCATTGCAAGGGAGGTCAGAATTTCAAAACTCAGATGTCCACAATGAAACACTTACCAAATTTTTCAATTGTAGATCTGAAGCTAACGATCTTGCCCTAAGATTGGCACGACAGTATACAAAACATGAAGATGTTATAGTTTTAGACCAGTAAGTATATTGGCAATTTTATCTACTGTGGGGTACAAGGCTCAGTTTTGGTCTGCAGTCTGAGCATTCCTGAAAACCTGTTGTAGTAAAAAGATTGTAATCGCGAAGTTGAGGGAAGTATTTTTTTTCCCCTCTGTTCAGTATTTGTGAGACCAGCCCAGAGAACTGTGTCCAGGTTGGGCTCTCCAGTACCCAACAGACATTAACATACTGGAAGGAGGCCAGCAGTGGCCTGCCACGATGGGTAGGGAGCCATAAGAGTTCAGGAAAATTGGATTTGTTCAGCTGTAAGAGACAGCTAGAGGGAGATCTTACTGTAACTACAACTGTCTAATGGGAAGGAGCAGAAAAGATGGAGCCAGGCCTGAAGATGTATGGTGACAGGAAAAAGCCAATAGACGTAAGTTGAAACCTGAGGAATTCTGATGATACATAGGGAAAAACTCTTTTTACCATGAAGGCAGTCAAATATTAGAACCGAATGCCCAGAGAGACTGGAAACTCCATCGTTGGAGAATACTCAGACATAGGCCAGACACATCCCTTCCACTTGTTCTGCAATCTTGTAATACCGCTCATGACTTACACTGCTGTGATTCTAGTCACTGGCCCTGGCAAACCAGTGACAAGAAGTACTGTCCCTCTGCATCCCCTATATTCAGATGTGCAAAAAAATCCAAATACTACTAAGGTGATAGATAGAAATCTCAGAGCTTTTCTCAGCTTAAGTGTGACTGTATTCCCACCAAGTAACAGAGCCTAGCTACTCTTTGGCTACCAGTAACGCTAATCCTAAAGAACTCTTGATACTGAGGAAATGACTGTCTAGTTCTGCTAATTGTTTTTTAAGTGCTTACCATGGACATCTGACATCCTTGATTGACATAAGCCCATATAAATTCAGGAATCTAGAAGGACAAAAGGAATGGGTCCACGTGGTATGTACTTCAGCCTGTAACTATCAACTACTTGTCAATTTAACGAAGTCTTATTTAACATATACTGAATATAGGATACTGTTCCTTTGTATAGGCTCCTGTTCCAGACACATACAGAGGACTTTATAGAGAAGACCATGAAGATTCAGTAACCGCCTATGCTAATGAAGTAAAAAATATTATTGAGCAAGCACATAAGAGAGCTTGTCAATTATGAAGTCTTACTTAACACATACTGAATATAGGATACTGTTCCTTTGTATAGGCTCCTGTTCCAGACACATACAGAGGACTTTATAGAGAAGACCATGAAGATTCAGTAACCGCCTATGCTAATGAAGTAAAAAATATTATTGAGCAAGCACATAAGAGAGGCAGAAAGGTAAAAAGTGATTTCCTTATCCATTTGTCTTGTCTTAGAAATAAGCATGGTTGACTGTCAATACCATTCAGGATTACTGAGCTAAGTGGTATGGACTTGTCAAAAAGCACGCAAGAACCATCTAATGACAAAGAGCTTGCTAATTGTTAATGCAATTTCCACAACTTTCTGTATTGGGTTCAAAACATTGCATGCTACATGTGTTTCAGGTTGCTGCATTTTTTGTTGAATCTCTGCCAAGCGTGGGTGGTCAGATCATTCCACCAGCAGGCTATTTTCAGAAGGTTGCAGAGTAAGTGGTCATTCATTATCTTAACTTTTTAAATTTAACATACTTGCTAAATATAGATGATAGAGAATTTCTCTGCCTGCTGTAGCATATAGCTTGATAGGCAGGAAATGGCCTATGCCTTCATGTTAGAATGTAAAGTTTCTATGGCAAAGACCTGCTTTTAAACACGTGAAACAGAATATAGGCCTGGAAGTTTACAAAGTAATGCTTTCTGCATGTTCTTAAACAGTAAATATTATGTCCTGTTTCCTCTTAAGAGACAATCTGTTATGTTACAGGCACATGCACAAGGCAGGAGGTGTATTTATTGCTGATGAAATTCAAGTTGGTTTTGGCAGAGTCGGCAAGCACTTTTGGGCATTCCAGCTTCAAGGAGAAGATTTTATACCTGATATTGTCACTATGGGGAAACCAATAGGAAATGGGCACCCTATTGCCTGTGTAGCAACAACAAAAGAAATTGCAGAAGCATTTGCAGCCACAGGAGTAGAGTATTTTAATACAGTAAGTAAAAAGTTGACCAAACTCTCCTTCTCTATGAGGGTCTAAGTATTAAAATTAGATAATCATGCAGTGTTTTATTATCTTTATTACCCACACAGTTACTGTTTAAATTATTTCTATCTTTCTAGTATATAACTTTCTATTTACTGGCTCCATCTGATATAAATGGCAGAATGCTCATTATATCACTGAGGCTACACTTTCAGTGACAAGATGGCATCTTTCTTCCCTTTCCCTGGCTATGTGTGTTCTTTTCCTGAACTCAGTTTGGAGGAAACCCTGTTTCATGTGCGATTGGATTAGCTGTGTTAGATGTGATTGAGAAGGAACACCTTCAGGCTCATGCCACAGAAGTAGGAAACTTCTTGATGAAGCTACTCAAGGAGCAGAAAATCAAGCATCCCATCATTGGTGATGTCAGGTATCAGTGCCTTATTTACATTTTTAGCTGCTTTTTGTTTGGTTCAGTCAGTCAAACTACTTAATCCAACTGATGTGGTTTTAAGAAATTCATTAAATCTGTGTTTTCAGCAAAACTCAACAGCCTGCTGTACGTTAGATTAAAACAAACTTGAGCTTATCAAAAGTCTGATATACTTTGCCACTCTAGGCCAGTACTGCTTTACTGATTTATTAGTTGTTAAAGGAATTCACTTTCCTGTTTGAACTCTTACTTCAAGTGCATAAAGAACAGAATTAATGACCTGGATGGAAAATATGTTTAACATCATGGCCGGTGCTGGCATTCTGAGCAGATGAAAGTCTGTACTGTATTACTACATTTCTTCAGAACAGCAATACCTTTTCTATCACTAGCCAACCATCAGGTAATTCTCATGCAGTAAAGGTTTGGTCTAACAAAAACCTTTCTCAGTTTTTTTAGTTCACTTGCAGTTCCTTCCTCTGACAAAGATTGACTATTTTTATTTCTTTTAAAGGGGTTCTGGCTTATTCATTGGAGTGGACTTAATCAAGGATCAAGCAGAAAGGACCCCGGCCACAGCAGAAGCAGAGTATCTCATAACAAGGTACAAGAGACAATCATGTAGTTCCTCAATGTGCAAGGCAAGCACACAATTACTAAGTAACCTTGCCACTCAGTTGTTGTTAAAATTTAGCCAAGTGGCAGAAAAAGAAACCAGTCAGTGCAGAAAGGCATTGTCTGGACACCCTGCATGCTGATGCTTGTAAGTTTTTCTGAACTACATGCAAAGGTAAACATAATTCTTTGTTATTGCTCTTTCCAGACTTAAGGAAGAATATATTCTACTGAGCACAGACGGGCCAGGAAGAAATGTGCTTAAATTCAAGCCTCCAATGTGCTTCAATATGGAGGATGCAAAATTTGTTGTGGACACAATTGACAAACTACTAACAGGTAGTACAGATTGAAACTGCCTTATAGAGGGTTGCTGTTGGACTGCCTTAAACTCAGTGCCGAGTCTGCTTTTCAGAAGTGCTAAAATAGAGCTCAGATGATAGATGCATAGACATGGGAAAATGAGTCTTAGTCAATGCAAGTTTAGCCTTCACTTCTAAATTGTTCTGTTTTAAAGTTCTTTAACAAAGCTCTACTCTGCAGATGCATATGCCTTTTAAAATAGCTTTGCTTTGGCAGAGGTTGAAGTGTTTACCCATCTGAACAAGGGGAACTGGTAAAAGCTGTCCAAATTTCATTCTTGACAGCCATAATCTGTGTGTATTTGCCACTTTAGCTTTTTATACAACTTCTGCACACTCAGTATTAACAAAGTTAGTCCAAAAACTTATCTCGAAGTCATGAGTTTGCTAAATTGTTACTTATTCTCCCTCCAGATATGGAAAAAGAATGTCTGAACCAACAGAAAACATCCACTTGTTCTACCTGACCAGGTATTTATCTATGTTCACCCTTTACTATGTAAGAGCCAAGGTTCCTAAACGTAACTTCACAAGCTTTGTCACTGGCAGTAGAGCAGGACCAAGTTTCCTCAGAGACGCTTTTACCTGGAATTAGTTTGCAGGAATTTCTGGCAATCTAGAAGCAATGAACCAGACTTGTGTACACCTGGCATTCACAGCTACCTTCTATCAGAGTCTGACAGTGTTACTTCTAGTAACACTGTATGTATTCATTTGTTTGCAGGCTAGGTCCAACATGTCCCAGAAAGGCCTACCACTAAAGCATGCTGGGAAGCTTTAAGGGTGACTGGGTTTAACCCTTGGCATGCAAGTGACACGCACATCAAGACAAAAACATAGCTTTTATGTTAGCTGCTCAGTGTCTTAAGTCTCCAGACAGATGCTGTTGCAGCTGCGTAACTACTTCTCAGCAAGTCTCCCCTTAACTGCCCTTAAGGGCAGGAACACTCTATATTCTGCATGCCACAATTTGGGAACCTCCACTTATGCCAACAGCTTTATGAAGAGCTATAAACAGTACTTTTACTACTATAGCTCTTGTTTTACTTAACAGTTGACTTTGACACAGTATTGCCTTCTGTTCTCTTGAGCATTTTTTACTATTTCATAGGATCATTTCAGGTTCATGACTTATCTCATGCTTAAGCACCAATTTACCCCTGTACTCAGAAATTTGTGAGGATCAGTAAGACTGAGTCCTATTAAGTCTTCCAAGCCTTGTAAATCTTAGTATCTGTTGAGGTCCCTTTATAGCTTGCTTACAGAGAACATCTAGCTGCCACTCATTTTGCCACACACATGAGTACAGTGTACGCTTACAGTTAACACCTCGGTAACAACACCCTTTGGTACACTTACTTAGTACTTCTTGAACCTACTCGGACTAAAAGACCAACTGAGTGTTTAACTGAGTGCCCAGTAAAACTCTAGGTACCTGGATGGGAAGGTACCTAATATAATCATTGTAATCAATGCAATCATTGATCACCTCAACCACCATACTAGATTCACAGTGCTATGGCCCCCTGAGCTAAAGAAACATGCTTTTAGTTCAGTGCAATATTAGTATAGCAGGCACAAGAAAAATGTGTTAGAGTTTTATTTAGCAAGTTAATGGAAAGACATACAGCTGTTTGTACTACCTGGATGGGAAGGTACCTAATATAATCATTGTAATCAATGCAATCATTGATCACCTCAACCACCATACTAGATTCACAGTGCTATGGCCCTGAGCTAAGGAGAAACATGCTTTTAGTTCAGTGCAATATTAGTATAGCAGGCACAAGAAAAATGTGTTAGTATTTTATTTAGCAAGTTAATGGAAAGACATACAGCTGTTTGTACTACTTATTCTTGAGAACAGAAAGATTACTCAACAGTGCCAGTTTAACTTAAAGGCCTAATGACTTAATGTGCTTGTCTGCAATCTAAACTAAGCAAGAAAAATGCCTTTATTTTCTACAGGAAACCAAGAACACAAAAAGCCTCTTACTAAGTACAGTACTAGTGTGACACTTACATATAATGTAAGCGAAAATGAGGCAATCAAGTAGGTTCCTTTTAATGATGCTTTTACAAAAAAACATTATTTTCTTTCCATAGGTTTCAGACAATGTTCAAGATCTGCTACTAAGAAACATTATTCTACAATAATAATGCACATTTAATCTTCATCCTAGCATGTCTTAGACCACATAACTGAAAATAACAAAATGAAAGGTAACTTATCTTGTTATTAGTAAAAACTTTAGAAGAAATAAATTTTACAAGAGCTTGTTTCAACTCTGGCAGAAGTGTGGAATTGGCTTTTATTTAAAACAGCATATCTAAAACTGATTATAAAGGAATGTATTTCTAGTAGCTACTATAAACTACATTTTCTAAATTCATGCTCTTTCAATTATGACTTTTGAAAATTAAGATGAGCCAATGGGTTCTCTTTTTTTATATCTGCTGCTACCTATGCAAACACCATTCTAGCTGCCAGTACACTCAGTCCTTCCCAGGCTCCTCTGACCAGTTTCAGTAGCCAGTTTCATAACAAGGTCCCTAGAAGCACTATATTCAACAAACAGTCTCAGTGACCAGATTAAGTCAAAAACTTCAGTCCCGAATTCACAACAAATGCATGAGGAACAGACAGCTGTGAGGGCCATGGCTCCCAAACCAGTTCTTACAAAATATTCTGTCCTCAAGAAATATCCAAGTAGGATTAGTAAATTAAGAGTACATAACAGCAAGAAGCAACAACCTTGTGTACAAGCCCTTGCTTTCACTAGGCAATTACATGTTCTTTGTATCACAAACTTTCCATGCAAAGAAGAAAGGGAAAGCTAGCTCTGCATTTAAGTACCAGTATCCTCAATTTCTGCTTAAGGCCACATCACCTGTCAAGGAAGCATTACCTGAGAACCTACTTCCAAAAAGCACCAACGTAACAGCCAGCTGACAAACTATTGCTAATACACTAGCCAGAAATACTGCAGCAGTATGGTCCTGATACTATGCAAATTCCCTGTTGGAGGGCAAACTGTTTTCTAGAAAAAATATTCTGCTACCCCTTACTTCATAAGAAAACAAGTAAAAGGATGCAACAGAGTAAAGCATTTCAATTTTAAATCTTGAGACAGTAATACTTACTTAAATACTGTACTCATGTTTCAGAGGTCTGCAATTTTTTTATTTGCAAGTTGGGCATTAGGTTACATACTCCAGCTGTAAAGTTGTTGTGTCAACTATCAGATTTAAAATCTGCTGCATCTTTTTTATACTCAAGATTTCCACTTAACCCCAGAAAAGTCTTACAGACTTAAAACTTTACAGCAAGTTTTTCTTTTCAAGGACAGCCAGCAGGGAGCAGTATATTATAACCCCTGCAGGAATAGCTGCATCCCTTGTTAAAAAAAGCGAAAAGGTCACTAGTAACATCTGTTTATATATTGTCTTAGTTACTTGGTTTGATTCCACTTCTGGTTCCCATTTGTTCAAATAGAATTTATTACAAGAAAAAAAATTGTCAGATCTTAGCTTTAAAAGGAAAGTAAAAATCAAATTGATTACTGCAACAAAGATTAGAAGTTTACTTTGTGCAGCAGCACTTGCTACTTATTTATAAATCTGAAATTGGGACTATTCTGCAGCAAGAGAGGCAAATCACATGATAGTTATTGCCTTAAAATAGTGGTAAACTAGGCAAGAAATGAGAGCATATTTCCAGCTGCTCACTCATCTCTAGAGAAAGAGCTGCCTCTTTAGAGGCAGCTCTGTTGTTTTTCCTCCCACAACTTTAGTGCAGGTTCTTTAGCCTTTTTTGATACCCAAAAAGGCTGCAAAAATGCAGACTTTGCATTGGTAATTTAATGTCTGTCTAACCTGTCTTTCAAGGCAGGTATACATACTACTAAGAACTTGTAGAAAAGTCTCAGACTCAAGATAGTGAAACATGAAGGAAGAGCAGCTAGCTTCTTGCACACCTCTTAGCTTCCTCCTGCAATGCTGTCTAGACTCCCAAGCCCTGCCTGAAACCCATGCCTCTGGCTCCTCCTAGCAGAGCCCTACAATGCAGACACTAACACAGTTATGCTGAGCCTCTGTACTTGTCTAGAACATGAGCCACCAGCATGCCAGCACAGCCTCCACAACACCTGGGACTCTCCACCCCAGTTCTCTTCCATAACCTCCAGGCAGAAATGACTGCAGTTCTTAGCTGCCACTTAACTGCAAGTGAGCACAACTAGCAATACAACAGCCTTCTAGTTTTAAGATTAAAAACATTTTATCACAACTCTTCGTCTATCAAGGTACTGCCATGAACTAATTTCTGGGAACAGTATACTGGCGTTTTACTAATACATAAGCTGAAGAATGGCACAAGACACTAGATTACGCCTTTTTTATTTCAAAAGCTAGGATAGCTTCAATATCCATGTCATGGTGAATCAGAACACATGTAAAATACCTTACAATACATTAGATTCCAAAAAGGTACCAAAAAGTACAGTAAAATTAACACTTCCATTACAGGAAATGTATGACACAAAAACAATACAAAATAAAAAGGTGAAAAGTGACACTGGTTCCCTAAGATGCATCTCATTCTGTACAACTGGAGTAATGCAGAGTCCATAGTTAACTCCAAGAGGCAGTCCCTAGATGCAGAGCTGCAGCTTTAAGCAGACCCTCAAAATCAGTTTCAGTTTAACCTATTAATAAAATCATTAATTAATATCTTCAGCAAGGCTGAAATTTACACACCACACTGTCTAGACAACTAGTTATCTGTAAGTATTAAACATGTAAAACATTTCCAGGGAGCTCTTCCAAGTAAGATGCACATTTAACAGGCCATAGAAATTTATTGTAAAGTTAAATTTGGTACAGAACTGAAATATCCATCTACAGCATTGTATACAAAACCTATGCAGTCATTTTCCAAAAGAGACCATGCCACTGCATACCTGAATAAGTTTGATCAATATGGCTTGTAGTTATTCTGATGACCACCACGTCTTGGTGTCTTCCCATAATTTGCACTGCCTTGACCTATGAACAAGAAAACAAATGCATTAAACTGCTAATTAGTTACGCTTGCTTATACCCAATACAGTTCTCTTTACTTACTGTAATCATAGCCTGGTCCATATCCATAATACCCATATCCTGAATAATCATAGCCTCCATAGCCACCATAACCTTGCTGATAGCCGTATCCTTGATTCCCATAACCCTGGTTCCAGTAATTGCCATAACCTTGATTCCAATTTTGACTTTGAGCTATAGAAGGGAAAACCATCCACAAAATCCCATTTTAGTACACACAACTTATTTAGAATGTGTCCATACTAAAGTAGTGCGTGTAGTACTTACCGCCGCCTCTTCCACCTCTGCCTCTTCCTCCATAGCTACCTCTTCCTCCACCACTACTGAACTGTTGCTGCTGGTATACTTCTTTTGGCTGTGCTACCTTAATCTCGCACTGAAAATAAAAAACAAGGAAGAGTGTGTATACCGTCTTGTAGCAGCAGCACCCAACCTAACCACCTAGGAAAACCAGAGGTTACTCTAGAGGCAAAGGAGGTATACATGCTGTGCTCCATCACGTGGCCAGGACTAATGCATATCCAGAAGCATCTGATTTATTGTGCCGCCTGGGCAAAGGTAAGTCACTGTTGGCCATCCAAAGCAGGCCACTGCTTTCAGAGTATTTTATACTGCCTATTCTCTACTATCAACTCCCCCTTGGAAGAGGTGCTGAGGCCACCTGAGCATAGCCACTGCTCCTGTAGGAGCCACGAGGCTGCCCTCTATCCTGGCACAACCTCCAAGATGAGGCTGTTGCTATTGGACCACTTCACCTGAGCTGCGCTGAATGAACAAGGCTGAAAAATGCACCAGAATGAGTTTTCCTGGCAGCCTTCATATACCCTATGCACTGAGCATCTGTGTTGGACTGTACAGTACACCTACCAACACTTGAAATCATCACTTACCAAATACTGATAACAGCTAAAAACAACCAGAATTGACATTTCTAAGACAGGTTCCCAAGCTGCAGTTCAACCTGTCAGCCAGCTTCCTAGTTCCTGAATCTGTGCACAGTCTGAAATGAAAGCTACTGCTGCTATGAAAGGAATAACTCCCTGTGATAGCAGCACCTGAGCAAGCCTGGCTTGGAATTCTTCACCACAGGAGCTTTAAGGTAACCTGCTCTTTTTATTATCACTATGACACAAAAACAAGCCATAGTTACAAGATATAGATATGATTTCTCAGCTCCCTTGGCACATAAGCATTTGTCTCTCCTGAAAACAAACTATGGCTAACTACAGTGTCTTGACAGCTATCAGTGCATTAAGTTTGCCAAAGTTTATTCTGTACTGTGTCAAGACCACTCTTAAACTGAGTGCAATCTAAGTCAGTGTGTCAGACAGTATGACCCAGATCTAACAGGGCTTGAAGTTAGTGTATGGTCAGCACTGGCCATGGAGCAAGGGAAGAGGGGACACCTCTAGCCAGCACACATCATTTGCCTCCAGTCCTCTTCTCATTAGCTTGACACATGAGCCTCTATTAGCTGTTCCCACAGATGAGCAGTCAGCTATTCAGAGCATCTCACACCACTTTCACAGTAGTTCACATAACCGGCTGACCAGGTACAAGTTGCCATAAGCATACATTTACCCTCCGGATCCTTGTATTGGGTTTACGTGACAAGGTTTTGGTAGCACGGAGGGCTGCAGGGCAGGCTTCTGAGACAAGACACCAGGAGCTGCCCCCGTATCAGACAGAGCCAGTTTCAGCCAGCTGCTTACAAAGTTAGTGTCTGTAAGCCTTGAATTTATGCAACTGCTCTATGCTGAAAATAGGTATGTATCTGTTGAAATGGCTTATATTGCTAGACTGATACATAAACCAGTTTTTCCACATGTATTTAACGAATGCAATTAGATACTTTACATACAAAAGCCCCTAGAACACAGCAAATATTAAAGCCGCAAGTATTGGCAAAGAACCTCTGCAACTGAACTTACGGCAAAAAAAACCCCTGTGGTAAATTGCAAGCTGTCCTTATTGTAATTTGGGTACCTTGAAATCAGAGGTCTACAAAATCCCTTTCAGATTACAGATGTAGTGGTATTATACTTAATAACTTGGGACAAAAATCTACAAGTCAAAGTTTCTACCTTGCTTCCACTGACGTTATGGAATTTCTTCTCCAAAACCTTCTTCACCGGATCCTCTTCCTTGAAAGTGATGAACACAAACCCCCTCCTTTTGTTGGTCTTTGGATCCATTGGAAGTTCAATTGCTTCAATCTGAAGACATGAAATACTATTTTCAGACTTGTATTTTAGCAGAACAGTTAAGCACATGGCATTTGGGATAGTAAAATGGAAAATTAAAAAAGGAAAGTTTCCTATCTACGCATATTATGCAACACCAAAGTTGCAATATTCTTTCTACACTAACATTGGCTTTCAGACCAGAGGTTTCCATTTTACAACTCTTAAAAACAATTTTATCATCATATAAAATGGTTTGAGTTAAATATCTAACTAGCAATGAAAGCATCTAGTGCAGTATGTGCCTTCCTTGCTCTCAAGATGGGAAACCTCTGATCAGTTACAGAAAGCTTGATACATCTGAAGTTAATTTAATTTGCAACTTGCAAATTGTTAGTAAACTAAACAGCAACTGGAGACTATATGTTTCAGTGTTTACTAAGATAACATTACATACCTCTCCAAACTCTCCAAAGTATTCCCTGATTTTCTCTTCTGTGGCTTCTGGGTTTAGTCCACCAACAAATATTTTCTTCACTGGATCCTTTTTCATTGCCATGGCCTTCTTGGGGTCAATTAGTCGTCCATCTAGCCTGTGTTCTTTCTGTTCCAGGACCTGAAAGATAGTTTGATAGGATTAACTCAAGCTGAAAAGTTTCCCCTAGAAGTTAAGAATCTGAAATACGAAGCTTAAATTCACCTTTTCAACACTCCCAGGTTCTTTGAAGAGAATAAATCCAAAGCCTCTGGATCTTCCTGTGTTAGGGTCCATCTTTATCGTACAGTCGGTTACCTCACCAAACTTGGTGAAGTAATCTTTCAAGTCTTTTTTGCTTGTATCCCAACTGAGGCCACCAACGAACATCTTCCTGAAATTTCAAAGAGAGAAGAGCTATTTAGATTCAGGAAGCACCACAGAAAAGCACATGCAGCAAGATGCTCACAGTGGTACAAACCTCAGCAGCATTGTCAGAAAC